GTAATCTTGTAGACCAGTTATGGAATAGAGTTATCTATAACCCCAGACTCCGGTCTGAGACTCTGGTTTTATCAGACAGAGTTCGTTTTTGAAACAGGAACCTATTTTTAATCAGCCGGAGACACGAGTTTGGAACTACAGACTACATAATAATCTAGTTGTACCCTCACCAATTATCTCCCACATGCAGCGCAGCACTCAGGGGTGTTTTTTTTTTTTTCCTTCTATAAGTACCCTACCAGAAATCCAGAGGTCTTCACACTAGTGACCTGAAACCAGAGCGATGGCCCTTCAAATAGAACACAGTACGCATTCAGCCTTTCCTCCGTAACTTAAGAAATAGCAAAAATCAAGACTTTGTATTTTCATTCCAGCTAGTTTTCAATTAATAGTTTTTGACTTAATCGGCAATGAGCTTCATTCAACCACATATCACCCTGAAGGTAAGAGGGCCTACTCCTCTGGCTTCATGGTATAAAGATCCAAACGCTGTCGGCTCTCGTGCTAAATAACACGTGTGTGCTTGTTCATTTGTCCAAATGTTACTTCTCCTCTTACTTCCAATAAACCAGAAGACTAGTCAGAGACTGTTTACTATAATTATTATTATTATTCCCTCTTCTTCTATGTATGTATTTAATGTAGTGACAGGCGTCACATAGAATTATAATAAGTTTTATAACAGACTTCATAAACGGCAGTAGGTTTGACCGTTTTCTTCTTCTAAACACCACGGCTGGGAGAAGTGAAAGACCAAATATAACTAGAGTATATTTATATGAAACAGGGAACTGTACGACCACAAAGCTGCTCGCTCTGTTAAAACAAGTTCACACATTTCAGCACAAAGCACAAAACAGACGAACACTGTGAGAAACCACATCAGCATTAAACTGTTCACTGGAGTCGACAGGAGGAAGTTGCTGTTTTGGTTTGATGTGCAGAGAGAAAAAAAGATTCAGATACACATTCAAGTGTCTTTGGTCTGCACAGTCTGTCTTCTCTTTTATTTATAATCACCTAATGTAATAATTATTTGCATTAAAACAAATAGATCTTTTATAATGTCAGAGTAAAACACAACAGTGAAACAGTTTCCACATATTTAGACAATTTACACAATTCAGATATTGTGTATATGATCAGAATGTAAAGAGAATTGTAAATCTGCACATTTATAATTATTATTGTTTTTATGAGAAACAGGAAACTGGACGACGCACAGAGCTCTTTAAGTCATTTCACAGATTCACCACAGGGTTCACAACAGACAGACTCTCATGCAACACACGTTATCCTCAACAGCAGGCCAGACCTCACGGACTACATGCAATTAACTTTGAATACATTGCTGTTTAGAAAAAATGTACAAAAACAAATCAAATGTAATCGCAGTGTATTGTCAAAGGCAATGCAACATGTAAATGTTATATAAAAATGAATATCCTGTCCTTCTAAAACAATGTTCTTCGACCTAAATCTGGTAGTACAAAGTTTTCCTACTTATGTAAAAGTAAAGATACTAGACTAAAATGTTATTCAAGTCATCCTGCAAATTACTACTCCAATGAAAGTAAAAAAGGTATCTGATTTTTAAAGTACTTAAGGATCAAAAGTAAAAAGTACTAAACAAATCTACTGATCTTACAATAAGCAATCTATCTTTTTAAATTCACTCCAAACAGGTTTGAATGGAGCCGTTACAGCGAATCACAATAAGAAAAACAGATATTTTCTATTCTGTGGGGGGATTAGTCTGCATTACTGCTCTGCTGATGTGGTAATATCCACAAACACAGAACCCCGTTTAGGACTCAATTCAGGAATTCTACTGTGTAGAGACTAGTTGACAACTATATAAAAAAATGAGTAAAGTAATCTCTGACTGATAAACTTTTTAAAATTTTATGGTTAATGTTACTAATTGTCTAATGTTCATATAGTAATACCAATACCGTTTTGTATCTGTATGTGTTAAACAATTAATTGTTTTTCAAATATAATACAGCTTTTATTTAAAGGTGTTCAATGACTGCGAGGAACAAGCCTACTCAAGTTTACAGAAATATTTTTTGCTTCATATTAGGCACAAGAATTAGGATAGTTATTGATGAGATATCCCACTTTTTAACAACAAATTCAACCAGTGTTGTATTTATATGTAAATTTATTCATTTAAAAACATAATATACATATCAGTAAGACTACAATACTCTCTCTTTGTACTGAGTTTTCAAACACGTCAACAAACTGCATGGCTCCACAAAACACGACAGAGCGGCTTGCTTCTACCAGGTGTACAGTGAGAGAGTTTGTGTGTGTTTGTGTCTGAGAGAGAGAGAATGAGAGGACTCACATTCCAACTGTCACAAACCTAAATTAAGAAGGTGATATTTAAACCGACACAACCAAGCTCAGAACAAATGAGGGTACAGAGCCACATGTGAACAGCAGTGAGCTCAACGCCACTGAAGGCCACAAGAAAGGGCTCAGACAACTGTTTTTTGGATACACACATATTCTATGACAACAACATTATGAAAACAACCAAAGAGAAAAGCATTTGGAAAGCAAGTCTGGAGGACGCGTGGAGGGTCCAGCGCTCCTTGGTTTTGCGATTTGATGATGATGGATTTAGTGTCAGAATTGTCCCAATTTATTTGTGACTAAAACTTTGTAAACTAAAACGTAAGCAACACATTTCTGTCCATGTAGCAAAGCCAAAACACAGTGCTGGAGAATGACATTACATGAAAATACAATCCAACTATACATTTTACAACACTTAAAAGGGGGACACTTCTCTCTGTGGTTAGGCCCGTCGTCTATCTAAAGCTATGAAACAACAGTTTTCATTTCCATTGCTAAATTTGGACAAACTTAATTACCTATCAAGCAGAAAACTATATACACTATAGCTGTCTTTGTCTGACTTCATCATGTTTTCAGTTCTTTGACAATAAAAATCCAAAGGCTGTCAGCTCTTGTGCTAAATAATAGGTGTGCTCCTCCATTTGTCCAAATTTCACTTCACTTCACTTTACTTCTAATAAACCAGATGACTACTCAGAGACTGTTATTATTATTTCTATTATTACTTCTTCTTCGTCATACGCATTCAATGTAGTGACAAGTGTCTACGCTGTCGGAATAATACAAGAAGAAGCAGAAGGTAGTGAAGAAATGTGCTTTGTAGTGCTGTTTGTCCGTTTTCAGCTACTATAGAAACTTGATATCCATGTAAAGGGGTCTTTATAAACCACTGAAAACGAATACTTATATTTCATTTCTTTCAATAGATCATCAGAACTGTTACATATTGAACCTTTTCCTAAAGTTTTTAAAAGTACTTATGCACATAAATATCCTGTGCACTTTTTCTTTATACATCCCAATCAACGTGAAATTGAGTGCACATGCACGAGCCACATACCCCACCTTGGCCCCTCCCATGAATTTATATGCAAATTACTATAAATACACAAGCGTCACCTCCTAAGGTCCAAATAACAGCCAATTCTGCTGCAAAACACGTAAAAAGGAGAAACCTCACTTGAAAAGGCTACACCAGCCGCACGTAGACAATTTTAACCCCCATTCACGGGGGGCTTCCATTCCCCCGGAAGTTAGCCTGCTGAGCCGGCAAATATTAACACAGTGGATGTTGTAGCGCTACTGCCAACAAGCGTTTGGAGGTGTAATCGCAGAATGACGGACAGACCTACACACAAGTATAAATGCCTAGCTATGTGTGTAGCCTACGGTGTAGCTACGTACGTATACCCTACGCAGGAGTATAAATCAAGCTTTAGGTTTTTTCATAGACTACTTCACAGACATATACACAGTAACTGGAGTGGAAACATTATAATAAAACATTTGGTGAGTTTCAGTACTTTGGAGATTACTGACAGAGCCAGACAAAAGTTCAGACGGTCCAGACATTTTCACCTCACGTTATATATATATATATATATATATATATATATATATATATATGTCACAGCGTGCGTAAACCGACCCTTTAAAAATCTATATTTCCTATTAGTGGACAGTAAAATGCCCCTCATTAATATTAATATTGCATGAAGATAAAGAAGGCAAATTCTGGCAGAAAAGCTAAAGAAAGAAATTTAACCTAGTGTGATACTGACATTCTTGTTGGTAAGGTTGAAGCAAAAATTATGTTGTTTGGTGGTTAAAATGTGCACATACTTGTCTTGGCTTGTGTTATTTTGTTTATTCGGATGAACTCAGGACAGTCATTTTCAATGTGCACGTCAGCAGACCCTGCACCAGAAGATGAACCCTTCTCTTCCGTCTCCATGCTGAGACCCTGTTTCCACAATCATAAAGCTGTCCAGGAAGTGGAAGTGAGTCCGTCCAACTCCATCTCTTCCATGGTACGCTTCATCGCAACAATCAGAATGCTGACCTACCGTAAATTTAATTCTAACCTGAACCTTCAAACCAGGTGTTTTAGCAAATACACACACACACACACACAAAAAAGCTACCTCTGCTTTGTCTGATTGGCTGCCGTTGGCGATGTGATATTCTGATGTCACTGTATGTGATGTCCTCTGTGATGTCATTTCCTGCAGCTTCTTCTTCAGCAGCTGGAATGAACCAAAATGAACAGCAATATAATTTACATGTTCTCAATAAACATCTAAATGAAAAAATTTATTGGAATTGTAGTTGAAATTTGTAACTTAATACTCATGACTGTTTGTAAATGTAAAATAAATCTTCAAATCTCCAAAACTTCTACAGGTACTGCATCCATAAAAACCCCAAAACAATCTGAAGGTTTCTGCTCTGAAATACTATATGTTGTTAGTGAATCTTCTGTCTGACTTTAACATGCAGCTGAACAGGTTTGAATGTAAATAGAAAACTTGCAGTCACAATGAACTGAACTGCACTACATGTGTTAACATGTAAAATAAACTTTCATCAAAAAAATTAAACCTAAATGTAAAATGTTTGTTTCTAACCTGGATGTTTACTTCGAAAACACCATCTGAACAGTAGAACCAGCAGAACCAGTAAAACCAGAACAAAGGACAGAGGAACAGACCACAGCATCACAGAGGGAGGAGGAGGAGCTGGTGATGAAGAAAGACAGGTGGACGTAGGAGGACGTGTAGTGGTGGGTTTCCCTAAAATGAACAGGAAATAATTATCAAAAGAACTTAAATGAAAAATGCATTACAAAATCCTCCTTTTGGCCTTTTCTGTTCAGGTAGGTGCAAATTTAGGTATTTAAATATTTACCCATTTTGTTTAATGTATTTTTAATTTAATATTTAAAACTAAGTTCCAATATTAGTCTTGTTAACCTGCACATGTTCACGTTACACATGTTTAAAGGTAGAGGTGCTGTATCGTACTAACAGAAAGACACACAGAAGTGAATTCATAACTTCTGTCCAGTTTAGAAAAAAAACAGGTCAGTTTGAGAATTATCTTTGAGCTCCTCACCTGTGACAGAGATCCAGCTGGATGGAGACTCTCCACGACCGCTGATGTTACACTTGTAGAGGCCTTCATCAGACTTGTTAACATGGTGGATGGTCATGTGACCTGTAGGCTCAGTCCTGATGAGGGAGCCATCTTTATAGAAACCAGCTGGGAGGTTGGAGGGAGGGGTCTCTGTTTTACAGTGCAGAGTGACATCATGTCCCTCCATCACAGGGAGGACAGGACTCTGCAGGATCACTGGTCCACCTCAACACAGAGACAAACTACAGCATTTCATCATTTACACACAGCTTCATCAACACTAACTCCACAGTCTGATCTTACCAGTGACAGTGATGCTGATGGTGTTACTGGTTGCTCCCTCTCTGGACTCACACCAGTAAACTCCACTGTCCCATGGGGTGATGTAGCTGATGTTACAGGAAGAACCAGCTGATCTTCCCCAGTCAGCTCCACACTGAGCCCTGTTTTGTTTGGTTGTGTTCCTCCTCAGCGTCCATCCAGCAGAGCTGTCGTCCTCCTCACAGCTCAGAGAGACAGACTCTTCTTCAAACAGCTGAGAGCTGCTGGGACTCACAGTCAGAGAGGCTGGAGGGGATCCAGAAACAGAGACACACTGATATTTTAAATGTTAGACGTATCTATGCCATTACTGAAGAGTCCAACAGGTTTTGTGTTATTCCAAAGTCACTTTGTTGTAGGTAGATAACGAAAGAATATACTTAAATAATGAGCACAGTCGTTGCTAACACACAATTATTTTTGTCCCCATAACTTGGCCATCAATTAGAGAGTTTGTTGAAGTAATGATCTCAAAGAAACACATCAGGTTTTAATATTAATTTCCAACCAGCCCAGTAGCTGCATTATAAAGAATTATTTTTGGATGTAGTTTTCTTGCTTACTTGATTTATGCATGTCATGTATTTTTTACGCAAAAATGATGCAGTGGCATATAGGCTGCCTTACATTCTAGGAAATGTGTTGGCTTTAAGTTCCTCTAAATGGATAAATAGTTGATAGTTCTCTGAGTTTCACGTTTTTATTACAGAGTTTTAATAATTATTAACCAGGGTTTGGAAATGTTTCTGAAGCTTTCAGTGCACTGGGGCCCCAAAACATGAAGCTGGTGCCCTTTTTTGAGTGCTCAGCAGCAGACTTTCCACAGCTCTGTCTGTGAGCGACGTCTCAGAGGCTGCACAGCTTTGGTGTTTAAGACGCAGGAATAGAAATGAATGCTATTTAACCAAAATTTGGAAAAATAACAATAAAAAGGACAATAGTTACAGCATCTCAGCTGAGACGAGGGATCTGAAGAACTAATAAACCTGCAACCATTGTCCAAAATTTAATTTGCAAATTTCAAAGGGTTTATTGTAGATGTAGAATGGGTACACCACCAACTTTATTTTTCATTTTGCAATATTTTAGGCATTTAATGACATTTTTAACTGGAATCTTGGATCTTAACTTTAACATATGAGAAGTGACAAATTTCATTGTTCTCAAATACACTATACACAAATTTAGTTTTTCAGATGATGCTTTAGTGCATTTTAGTTTTTATATCTGAAGACTTGGGTCAAATCTTGTATTTTCAAAATCTATTATTATCAAAGCAGTCAAGTCACAAGTGAGTAGAGTTTTGATGTTGTTGCATCCAGGTCAATTTGTCCTTGTTTTTAGAGACTTTGATTTTGATAGTTTCACTTAAGTCTGTTTTTGTGCGGTATTTGTTAATAATCTTGTTAATTTAATTTGTTAATGTTCATTTATGTTCAGGTTTGTTAAAACTCCTTATTTGTTTTCTTTTTGTGTTCTCTTGTACTCTTTGGGTCCACATAAGTATTCAGCAGAAAGCATTTTGCTAACAGCTGTCAGAGTTGACTCACCTCCGCTGGTCCTGCAGCTCAGCAGAGAGATCAGCACTGAAGAGAAACCAGACTCAGGTTGGTTTGACATTTAACATAAAACCAGACCAGACTATATTAAATGTTATTAAAATTTTACAACATTAAAATATTTCTGTGGACATTAAATGCCTCAGACGTATTATAAATAACAGCACATTTTCTGTATAAGTTCAGTAGAACAAAAGTTTATTAATGCTGCGTTCTGCTAATCTCTTCTTCCAAAAGCTTAATTATTAAAGTAACTTTTTAGAGATGTGATTTTCTTTCTGTCTGTGTCAGACTGAATGAAGGGAAAAAAACACAAACGTGCTGTTCTGTTTTGCTTTAACGCTGTATGAGGTAGTAGTTATTTTGTTTCTGTAGCCTAATAAAATGTACGTTTTATTGATTATCATTTTTGTTGGTTGAGTTTTTGTTCTTTGTTAAAGTAAATTCTAAAATGATGCAAAAACTCTTATAATATTTTTTCATCAGATTGTACTTACAGAGCAGAAAAGCTGTCTGTCCCATCGCTCCTCCACTCAGTCAGTCCAGTTAATCTCTTCCTCTCTGTAGGTGAGAGCAGTGACTGTGTAGAAGCTCATCTGGTTTTGCTTCTTCACTCAGAGCTCATCAGGAGACACGGGGCCCTACACAAAGAGTTTAATCACATGCAGGAAGTGACAGCGCTGCAGGCTGAACATGAAGGAGGGCTGATCTGAGATCACTGAGAGACAGATTCATTAGAAACAAGTGTGATAGGCAGGCTTTTGGCCTGGTAAGGCCACGGTCGGTTGCACCCTCTCATTGAAGCTCCACCCCCCTGTCTCTCCAGAAGCAGGCGCACACCTGTCCCTCTTTAAGAGTTGATTTATGGAGAACACTCAGGATCTCTCTTCAGGTATTGTGTTCCAGTGTGGCTAGAGAGCAGGTATGTCTTTTAGAAGTTATGAGTTAAGGCTGAAAATGTTTTTAACTTTTGTGAACATGTTTTAATCACAGATATTTTAAGCCACCTGTTGTCCAGATCTTGTCAGATGAATAGCTTGTCATGCTAAAGGTTCACCACAGAGAAAGCAGTGGTTTTTAACCCTGAGGTAAAAAAAAATGTTGGGTAGTAGAGCTATGCAAGTTTACTAGTTTGTGTGCCTTTTGATAACGTGATTCACACTGCAGTGGGCCTAAACATCTGATCTGTAAACGAGGTGGAGTCAGAGCTGGGTTGACTATTTACTGCATTGTTTGAGGTAAATATCGTCTGTCAGGTATATATCAGGTATGTTTTTGTAGTATGTGTTAAATAACTGAACTAATTAAAATCTGGTAATTTTAGGGTTGTAAAGCCACTGTTTTGCCTGCCTGATCAACTGCTGGTATTTGTACTTGAATTTATGTCAATTATTAGATTTGTTACAGGTGGATGGGCCCCTGCGATGTGTTTGCTAGTGATGGCGAGATGAAGCTTCATGAAGCATTGAAGCTTTCCATCCAGTTGGTTCACTCATGGGCCGAAGCTTCACGGTGCTTCATTTGCTCTGCTGCGCCATCAAGTGGACAATAAATGTAAAAATAGGCAGTGATTATAAAGGCAACATGGCTTTGGTGTGTGTGTGTGTGTGTGTGTGTGTGTGTGTGTGTGTGTGTTTGAATTGAATAAATTAATGAATGACGTTTGATTTATGATTAGCTTTTTAATAAGGTGTCTGTCTTTATGAAACAATGACAGAGTCAAAAGGAAAGTGGAATCAAGGGAGAGTGTTGTGATAACTTGGTTTGTGACTTTAGATAATAGAGACAACATTTTTCTTTATTTAAAAATAACCCTTCCACAGTGCTGGGCTTCAGGCGGTTTCTTTTTTGGAGATGATTTTACCTGCTTTATAAAATTATTACGGTAATATGGGGTGAGAGTTTAATTTTTATCAAAGCCACAAAATATAAAAAACTCAACACTTTTCCTGTTTCATCACAATTAAGTTATTTGATCAAAGCAATTCTGACAAGTTGTTAAACTTTTCTTAGTCATTTAAAATGAGCTGTAGATAAAATCTAATTAAATTTCAAGTTCAAAAGTCAACAAATTGTTGAGGGTCCGCTGCATTTTGCTGCTCCTTTCGAATCGCACGCCAAACCCGCAAACCATCTCCTGAATAGGTCACGTACGGCCGGCTCGCGAGGCTTCGAACGTCACCACATACGTCATCAACACAAGCCTCGATACGCGCTTCACTAAATTCATCCTGCATTACTCGACACACGCTTCGAAGCCTCGATATGGACGGACACGTCACTAGTGTCTGCCAACTGCTAAGGGTGTGGCTGTTTCCCCTTTTTTGGCTGTACGATTTCCCTCAGCTTGTTAACCATTTATTCCCCTTTTAGTGTTCTGCCAGACTGAATCAACTGGGAGTTCAATTTATAGCTTTGCTTTTTCAGCTCATCTGCTGCTTCACTGCATTCTCAGACGTACGTACGCACACAGGTTTTTCCAATATTAGAAAAAGGCTCTGTTCACGTGTCAAAAATGTAAAAGTATTTAATTAACCAGCCAAACTAATATCGGGGTAAATATCCTGTAATTTATGCTGATAAAGATCGAGAACACTGAGATTGTTATTAAATGGCTGAATTAGCCTGAAGAACGGGGACGTGATGAGTCACTCATCATCCTCTTGGCTGGACATTAACTCTGCTGTCATGTGGCTGTTTAAAATAAACTCACACATTCAGAGAATTCTATTTAACTACTCAGTAACCTGATAACTTTTGGTAACTGGGGCATTGGAAATTCTCTGAATAGGGGGACATGTGTTTAATGTTCTTTCAGTCACAGGTTAGGATTTTGTTATTTTGTCCTAGCATGTAATGATTCAAAGTTAATTACTGTGTTCTTACATAATTGGAGCCCCCTGCCACCCTGTAAGCAGGATAAGTGATTAACGATGGAAGGACATATTAGCAATCAAACTAGGTGTGCTACATGAGAATAATGTATCATAATTTTTGTTCTAACAGTAATTTATTGAGGGTCCCTAAGCAAAAACCCCATGGTCAAGAATTTGCATTCATCCCATCGTCAATCGCTTATTCTGCGTACTGGGTTGGAGCTGGAGCCTATCCCAGCTCTCATCGGGAAAAACTCTGGGTACAGCCTGGACAGGTTGCCAGTCTATCGCAGGGCCACTGACAAACAACCAATCACACTCACATCCACAGGGCCGATCAACCTAGTCCGCATGTCTTTGGATGGTGGGAGGAAGCAGGAGCACCCGGAGAGAACCCACGCAGACAGGGGGAGAATATGCAAACTCCACACAGACACTACAGAGCGCTATCCACCGGACCCCCGTGTATTTTGAATTTTCACCGTGAATGGGTGCATTTACTGTAAATACTCGAATAGGAGTGCACTCCAGATTTAGCTGTGGCTAACTGAGCTCATGTGGCTTTCAAACAGCTCACTTTCCTGCAGTTCTGTGTCCATATAAGTCGGTAAATGAAAACTCTGTCAGAGCATCTTCATGAAAAAGAAGGAACACATGGCTGGTAGTATTGTCTTCAAATAGAGTTGCTAAACACCTCAGCGCACTGAAGGAAGCCATCTGACTGTGTGAGGAGCAAGTTTGTTGATATGTGCAGGCAGAGTAGGCCTAGAGCTCTCCTGTCTGACTCCCCTCCTCATTTGCATAATGAGGCAGAAATGCATTCAGAAATTTAAAAAGGACAGGCAGAAATAAATACCATAGGTGAAAATAAATAAGGTAAAAAATACAAAGGAAGAATAAAACAGACAAAAACACTAAAACACACACACAAATACATATAAAAAAAGTAATAAAGTTGAAGTTTATAATGGACAATAAATAAATAAGGTAATTATAACAAAGGTGAATAAGTAAAGAAGCTAATTAAAATAGATATATACATTTATGTCTCACTGTATAATTTAATTACTGCCTACATTTATTTATTAACTTTATTTTTTCTGCATTTAATCGGATACTTATTTATTTGGTGGTGATGGCACAATGGATAAGATGCCTGCCTTTGGTGTGAGAGACCCAGGTTCAATCCCCCACTGTGACCCATTGTGTCCCTGAGCAAGACACTTAACCCCTAGTTGCTCCAGAGGCGTGCGACCTCTGACATGTATAGCAATTGTAAGTCGCTTTGGACAAAAGCGTCAGCTAAATGTAATGTCATTTATTGAGCATTTATTTATTTCTGTATTTATTTATGAATTTGTCGGGATCAGTCATCCATAAATACCTAGTCATTGACAGTACAATAAGATTTATCATTTATTTACCCTTGCTTTGTTCAGGTGTGGCCTGGTAAATTAACAGTTAAGTTGTGTTTCCTTAAAATGTTTTAAAGCTTTTAATTACATAGGAAAAGCTCACTAATCATTTTGTTAAAGATTTAGTGACCAATAGTAAGTATCCTGGATCCCAAGTATCCTATGATTACTATGGGTAATCATGCGAGAGAAGAGAACAGGAGCACATAGACATAATATAGAGACAGACGCCCTATTGACCGCTGCTGCCTACTGGGGAGGACGAGCCGTGGGTCTGCCATCTTGAACCGGTCACCCGCTCCACTCAGTGTAATCTGTTTGGCAGGTGCAATGAGCTGTCAACGCATTTAATTAATCATACCTCACTGAATACCAAACGGATTTTCACGCAGGGTTTTTGCTGGTCATACATGGTCAACGGTCATACATGTAGCTATGACACAGGATACATGGTTCTGCATATTTTAAGATTCATAGCGGGCTTAACAGTAATAGAATATTAGATAGATGATATAAAGTGACCCGACGTCTGAGATCAAAACTGGGAACATAATCCCCAAAAAGGGGGAAAAAACAGGGACATTTCCAGTTTGACTATCAATGTTTTTCTATTTTAAATTAATACTATTACTTCTATTTAGAGTTTTTTTTCTGTATTTAGCCAGGGACAGGCAGCCAGTAACGGGGACTGTCCCTGAAGCTGGGGACGTCTGGTCACCCTATGATATGTGATGTAGGCTATGATAGGTATTTGCAAATCACACACTATAATATGAAAGAGAAGCAGAAACAGATAGTGAGAGTAACGTCAGATATTTTAATAATTTGAACCAATACAATATATGATTAAATAAATATTTATTAATAATAAATTATAATATATAATATAAATAAATATTAAATAATAATAATAATATATATAATATATAGTCTACTTGAAGCTTTTTATATTTGTCCCTCTCTGTGTCACACACACACGCTGTACTAACACGTTCTTCTGCATCCATCTCCTCCTTGAAATTTAGCAGCCCAGACACACACACACACACACACGAAAGCTTTGCATGAGCTAAAACCCCTGAAAGAGGACTGTTTTGCAGAGCGTCTTTCTCGTGCTCCCTTTCTGCAGTTCAAGAGAGGTGAGTTTGGCAACGTGGTGCAGCCTTATCCTGAAAACACAGACACAACCAATGACAACAAGTCAGAATGATGGTTGTCAATGCCAAACTGTGTCTCCTCAATGAGTTCCCCAAGCAGAAAAAACATCCTCTGTTCCAATCTCCTCCCGGACGATGTGTGACTGTCGACACCTTAGGAGCTTGCATTGTTGAAGCTCGCCGCATCACCCTCTCTGCAGTTCTCAGCACCTTTATAATAATAATAAAAACATAATACATTATATTTATATAGTGCTTTACACAGTGCTCAAAGGCACTTTACAGAACAG